AAAAAAAAAAAAAGAAAAAATAGTTCAGGTGAGGAGGGTGGGGGCGGGAGGGGTCAAACATACTTGAAATGAATAGAAATCACACCTGCCACTTCCTGAGTACCTTTATATGCCAAGTGCTCCATGCACGGTATTTAATCCCTCCCCCCCTCAAATCTTATGAAATGGGTATGGTGATTTACATCTATTTTACTGATGAGAAAACTGAAATACAGCACATCGTGGAACATATAGCAAATTCCTGGCCGAACCAGGTATGTTTGAGCCCAAAGTTTGAATTCTTATCACAGAGCTCTGCGGCACCTCCGGCTCTCAGAGCCTTTTCGAGCCAGACATAAAAATAGACACTTTTTTTTTATATGCATTCCATGCATATGAAGTTTCAAGAACAGTAAATTAATTTGTGACAAGAGAAATCAGGACCACGATTATCTCATGAGGATGGCGGGCAAGGAGTATTTACTGGGAAGAGAGGCAGTGCCCTGGACTTTGGAAGTGTTCTGTGTCTCGATCTGAGGGATGGCGACATGGGTACATATTTATGTAAAAATTCTCACCCTCCTCCAGAAGTGGTGGGACTCAGGGAAAAGAAACCAGAGATGACTCTCAGCGGAACTGGGGATACTGTGAAGCACGGCCCCTTCTAAGGCTCTGTCCCTAATTTTGGTTTGGTCATTGTTTTATTTTCCTTAGGGAGAGCCCCTCCCACCATACTGTTGAAGCTTCAGGCCCCACAGAACCTGGATCTGCCCTGGCTCAGAGGGTGGCTGGGAGGAGGATTGCTCCATCGTTAGATCCAAGGCGGACTGTTACTTAGCAACACCTTAACCCCCATCTCAGCTCATGACACATCCCCCCAGCGCCAGTGTCATGTAAAGTAGACCCCGGAAAGCTCCCAGTAGCCTGAGAAAAGCAGGGATGCCTGGCCCTCCCAACTCAAATTAAACACAGGTTCTTTCTAGCCTTTCCAGCTCCCTCTTCCCTCCCTCTCCTTTTGTCTGTTGTCTTCCCACCTCCACTTTACCCCACTCACCCCTCTCCCTGACAGCAGCCGCCTTCCCACCTTACCCCATGGCAGAGTCAGGACCCACCGCCTTCCCCACCCAAGTGCAGACCCAATACAACTCTTAGCTTCGGGGAGCAGGAGTCATGCGTAGGCTCCAGTCCTGCCTTATTGGGTAGCCCCTGCCAGGCACTTCTTCCTTTTGGGCATCAGTTTCTCCATTGTCCATTTATACATAACCTGGGTCCGAGGCTCCTTATCTTGAATCACACTCGATGTCTTCTTGCTCCTGAGTTAGAAAACAGGTAGACAAGGGGGTCAATCTTGGGGACCTGGCTCCCCTCACCACGACCTGCGCACCCTGGAGACATTTCAGGTGCCTTCCCTTCCCTCGTAGAATAGTGACGGCGATGGGGATAGTGGCGATGATGACAACGACAGGAAGCATATATGGGGAATAATACTCTGTGCCAAGCAGAGGAACAGAGGAGGCAGGCTTTGGGTGGGGTCTGATTGTCCACAAGCTCCATGCTCGCGGCCCAGAAATCTGGGGACCTCCTTGCCCCTCTACACGGGAACTCCCAGCCCTCTCTGATGCTCTGGGCTACTCTTAACCCCCATATCCCTCTCTCCCTTGCAGGCCGTGACCCTTGCTCCAGCTGTTGATAAGCCACCCCCTTAAACACATCACAGTCATGCTCTGTATACACAGAAGAGTTGTTTGAGCAGATGTTTAATATACGAAACAAAAATTGCTATTATTTTGTTGAATAGATCCCCAAGAATCTGAAGCCATCTGTTTGCAGTATCCCACCCTGGGGCCTAAAAATGCTGCCACCTTCTGTGGCGAAAACATGGCCACCCGAGAGCTGTTCAAGCATATTTGTAAACAGTTCTACCCTGTTTCACTGAAAGCTACAAGCAACCCCATGCCCCAACCTGCCCACTGATGGGCCTCATGGACGAGAAGAGACAGAGCATTGAATTCTGCATTCTGGTTTAGAGTTTACTTGGTCCCACCTTGGTGTTTTCTTTGATTCCTTAAAAAGAAGGAGGGAAGGAAGGAAGGAAAGGATGAAAGGAAAGGAAAGGAAGGAGAGGGAGGGAGGGAGGGAGGGAGAGAGGAAGGGAGGGAAGGAAGGAAGGAAGGAAGGAAGGAAGGGAAGGAAAGGAAGGAAGGAAAGAAGGAAAGGAAGGAAGGCAGGCAAAGAAAAGGACCTCTTTTACTCTGAAGATGACTCTCCTGCCATTTGTACTCCTATGAGATCCATGTCTCACCACCCCGCTACCCCTACTGGCCTTCCTCATGCTAAAAGAATGCCGTTTCCTTCCTCAAGAGGCAAGATCAATTCCTCTGCTATTGCTATGCCATCATCATTAGTAATTTCTGTGTTTTCCCCTCTGACTACAGCAGGGAAATCCTGGACAATGCGATTGAAGTATAATGAGGTTTGCTTTTATACATTTTCTTCACTTTTCATTACACAATTAATACAGTATACCGTTATTTTAAAGAATATCTCAAAAAGTAAATGAAAAGAATTCTTTATACTAAAACCCTGTAGGACACAGTTAAAGTTGTGCTCAGATGAACATTCATAGCTTTAAATACTTTTATTATTAATAAAAGACCAAAAATAAGGAATTAAGTATTCAACCTAAGAAATTAGGAAGACAGCAAAAAATAAGAGGGAAAAATAAGATGAAAGCTGGCATTAATAAAATGGGGAAAATACTAAAAGGATAAATAAAATTTGTTAGAAAAAAAACAAATCAAATGAGAAAATCTTAAGTAAAGGCAAGTGTGAGAAAACAAAGCAAAGAGAAAAAGCAAAAATATTCAATAGGAATGAGAAAGGCAATATAAACACAGACAGATATTGTTAAAATAATTATTAAAACTATTATGGTAATAAATAGAATAACAAAAGGAAATAGATGATTTTTTTCTAGCAAAATATAAGCTATCAAAATTGACCCCCAAAATAGAAAATTTTAACAGCCTAAGAACCATGGAGATTAGAAAGATCATTAAAAAGATTGCATTCCAAAATAATGGGACAATCTAACATTAAGTACTTCTTAAGATGACACAATGGAAAATATACAACACCACCTATGTTGTATTCCAGCCCCAAAATGTTCAACCTGAATCTAATCATGAAGAAACAAACAGACAAATCGAAACAAGATTAATGAAGTACAAAAACAAATTAAAGAAGAAAAATGGTGGGATATTCTATAAGACAATTGATTTAGACTCTGAAAAAAATCGAAGTCATAAAAGGAGGTGGAGAGAAGCAGAACGATTCTGGATGAAAAGATTAAAGAGCTATGACAACCAGATTCGCTGAAGGATTCTGGATTAGATCCTAGAGGTTTTTCTTAAAAAGCAGCTAAAAGGACATTATTGAGACAGAGAAATCTGAATAAGATAATGTGCTAGATAATATTATATCTAGTTACTGCTGGTTGGGGTAATGACATTTTCTTGGTCAGGATAATGGGATTTTGTTTATATACAAGAAAGTCCTAAATCTCAGGAGATAGCATTTTTAAAAACTGTAGTTAGGAATGAAGTGTTTGACGTTTTTGTTTCACCTTTCAGATGGTTGAGCAAAGAAAATTTAAGTGTGGTGTGCGTGTGATCCAGAGATGCAGGGCCACTACAGTGATGTAAAGGATTGGTAACAGGGACCAGACCTCATGCAGTCGTGGGTGCTGGTGAAACGGAATGTTCAAGGCCTTGACACCTGCTGGTGACTGGAAAGGAGAGATGGATGTATCATGGGGAGAGCAAGGACAAACTGGGACATCTGTGTCCCTCACCCTCTCCAACTTCAGTGAGACAGCTGACCTGCAAGAGAACTGGTGTCCTTTGCAGAGCTGTACACACACATAGCTGGCCCAGGACTCAGAAGCTAGTCTCCTAGCAGGAACCAGAGAAGTCACAGGCCCTGGTGCTGCCCAAACCAACAAGGCAAGTTAGCAGTCCAGTGACAACCACGTGCCAGCTACAGCAGGGCCTGAGGCCCTCCGCCCAAGCACAAAGCATAAAAAACGGCTGCTCCTTCTAGACCTTGAGCACATTTATTTTGTGGCCAACCCAACTTGGAATCACACAGGAAAGAGAATTCTAGGAAACTAGGTTCCAGCTAAGTTCATACAGTACAAAGTGGAGCAGGAGTGAGTGTGTGTGTGTGTGTGTGTGTGTGTGTGTGTGTGTGTGTGTGTAGAGAGAACACACAAATGTGATAAACTGTTAACAGTTGGTGAACCTAGCTAAAGAGTGCTCAACTTTTCTGTAGATTTAAATTTTTAATAAAAAGTTGGAGGTAGAAAGAGGCACCAAGCCCAGATGGTTTTACAACTGAGTTTTATACAGTCTTTAAAGATCAGATTATGCTTATGTTATACAAACTATTATAGATCATGGGAAAATGTAGAAAGTTCCCGATCCATTTTACTAACATTACTCTAGACCATTTTTACTTTTGGGTTCCCTCCCTCACCCCCAGGAATAAGAGACTTCGTCACTAGAGATGCAGTCAACTTAATTCATTACATAAACAAATTAAAGAAGAAAAAGCAGAAATAACTTCTCAGCCAGAAAAAAATAGTTAAGCATTGAGCGAGTGCTCGTACCATGCTATACACAATAGGCAGACCATAACTTCAGCAACTCACAAGTTTCTTGTAATGGAGTGTTCAATCAATCAGAGGATGCTGTAAGAGAAACACTGATTGGATGCTTAATTGAAAATAATTACATTCCAAACGTCGTGTCAAGAAGAGGCCAAATGAGAACTCAGGGTTGAGATATTTGAGCTAGAAATGAATTGTGAGCTCCTAGCCCTTTACAGATAGGAAAGCCGAGGCCCAGAAAGGATAAAGGACTTATCTGCCTTCGCAGACTGTCCACTCGGCCAAGTCTGCATCTACTTTAAATAATTCCGCAAATCCAGAAAGCAAAGGCCCAGAGGAGATTTATTTGCCAAAACCAGACAGACCCCACCCCCTGCAGGCAGAGGGCGGAACAGCAGGGCCCTGAGAGCCAGGACTAGGGTAATGGGATCAGAATTTTTCCTTTTGCCCCAAGCTCAATCAACACAATACTGTGACGAATCCTGGTTTTGTTTAAAATATTCATAGTTTGCTCATAATGGAAATGTCGGCATTAGTTTTGATTTAAAAAAATATTACATTAAACAATGATGTGTCTCGACTACTAAGGTTTTTGGCACATAGCCCCTATTAAATTTTGCACCCTAGACTAGAATCTCGCTTGTCTTCTAGTCCCATCGCCTTATATTCCTAAAACCTGGAATCTTCATCCTCATCTTCATTTCCGCCTCCAACCCAGCACTGGCATCTCATCAGAGGACCTCACCTCTTCCGTAAGAACATAGGCAAGAACCCTCCTTTCCTCTTTACTTCCTCCCCTTCCTTCCCTTCTCTTCCCTTCCCCTCCCAGCTCCTCTATGCCAGGTGCTGTACTAAATATACAAGGGGCATCTTGGGCGTCAGGCAGATGTCAAGTAAGGAGGCATCCAGAAAATGTAATAAAGTGTTCCAAGAAGAAGGATTGCATCTGGGATCATGGGAGGAAAAGAGTCTGGATGGGTTCTGTTCCAGTTCCCATCCATACCTATTGCCACATCTATGTCTGGCCCACATGTAATAAGTTCTCAAGCACTTACTACGTGCCCAGCAATGTTCCGCAAGCATTAGACACCCTTGTGATAGAGGTACCGCTTTTATCTTCATGACCAATGAGGAATGAGGCTCAGCGTTGTAAAGTCATTTACTCAAAGCTCCACCGCCGGGAAATGGCAGAGCAATGCTTTGAACTGAAGTCTGCCTAACTCAACGCCCATTCTTGTAATCTAGGCCACGTTTGTTCATTCAACAAATATTTTTGCATGCCTGCTATGTGACAAGACCTGTTTTAGGTGCCAGGGATATAGCAGTGAAAAAAATGGTTAAACACCGCTGCCCCCTGCCCACACACACACACCAGGCAGCATTTACTTTGGTGAGGAGATAAGCAATAAACACGTAATTAAACAAACAAGATAATTTCAGGTAATAAAAAGTGTTATGAAAAAGACTAAAGCAGGTAATGGGACAGAGCATCTGGGTTGTCAGGAAGCCTTTCCGAGATGAGACCTAGATGCTAAGGCATCTACCAAGTGGATATTGGGAGAAAAGTGTTCCAGACAGAGGGAACAGGGCGTGCAAAGGCCCTTGGGGTAGGAGTAAGATGGGCACATTTATGGAGCAGACATATTGGTGTGGCTGGAACACAGTGAATTGAAGAGGTCGGTCTGGGGCCAGGTCATGTAGGGCTTAGTGTGTATGCCGTGATAAGGAACCTGTATTTTATTCTGACAACAATGGAAAGTCACTGAAGGGATTTAAGCAGGAAGGTGATGAGACGTGAGTCACAATTTTAAAAGATCACTTGAGTCTATGGTTTCTCAACGTTGGCGCTATTGACATTGTGGGCCGAAAGATTCTTAGTTCTGGAGGCTGTCCTGTGCACTGCAGGATGTTTATTAACATCCCTGGCCTCTACCTACTAGTTGGCATTTATACTCCCAGTTGTAACAACCCTAAGTGTCTGCAGACATTGTCAAAATGTCCCCTGGAGGGCAAAAATGGCTCCCATTTGAGAATGACTGCCGTAGTCATAAAAACAAGGAAGGGCTGCGGAAATGCTCCCGGTCGGCAGAGCCTGCAGAGACGTGGCAGCCAAGTGCCATCCCTGATTTTAGACTAGATCCTCTATGGGAGAGGGAAGATGCTCCACAGGGTGCTATTGGGTCAGTTAATAAAAAAAGAATGTGAACGGTAGACTGAATAAAAGTATCGAATCAATATTAATTCTACCCAAGTTGAAAACTGTACTGTAGTCATACAAGAGAGTATTCTTGTGCTTGGGAATAGGGATGTGTTTAGGGGTAAAAAATCATGACGTGTAGAGTCTACACTCAAATGATTCAGAAGGAATTATATACATACATACATGTAATATGTAAATGTTACATATATGTATGTATATAAAATACCATGTTATGTGTATGTACAAGTGTGTGTATATAGATAGATATATAGAATCCCATGATATAAAATAATAGTTTAATCTGAGTAAAGGGTCTACAAGTGTGCTCTTTGTACTATTTTTATTCTTACAACTTTTCCGTAAGTTGGAAATTATTTCCAAAAAAAAAAAGTTTAAAAAATCGCTCTACTCTCACCTGTGACCGGTGGACCGCAGATTGGTACAGCCCCTTTGGAAAGCGACACGGCAGTAATTGCAGAGGCCACAGCCCTGCCTGCCTTGTGACCCAGCACTGCCACTTCTGGGCACGTACCAGAAACGAGTGCGTGTCGACCGAAAGACTTGTACCGGAAGGCACACAGCAGTCTATTTTTAATAGCCTCAAACTGGAAGCAACTCAAATATTCCTCAATAGTAGAAAGAATAAATTAACACACACAATGGAATAGTGCCCAGCCATGAAAATGACAACGTGTCAGTACACACACCGTGGGGAAAAACTCAAAGATACACTTAGTGTAATAAGCCCGACACAAAAGACGACACATTATGTGGTCAGCTTCATTTCTTTGCAGCTTAACAACAGGCTGAACTGGCCTATGGTGATAGAAATTAGAATATTGGTAAACTTTGGGGCAAAGGGTTTCCGGAGCTGGAAATTGTTCTGTATCTTGATCTGGGTGGGTGTTACGTGGGTGATTACATGTACAAAAATGTATCGAGCTGTGCACTGAAGATTTGTGCCATTTACTGTATATAACTTAAATAAATAAGTAAGTAAAAAAGATTACCGTGGCATCTGTGTAGAGACCAGAGCAGTGGTCCAGACAGACAGCAGAGGAACCAGTTGGGAGGCTGTGACAAAGACCGGAGGGGAGAATAGAGGGAGGATCAGCCTGGAGCGGCTGCAGGGTGAGACGTGGCGAAAGGGGAGTGAAATGACAGAAGGGGGGTCCGGAGGGTGAGCCCTGGTTGAACAATTGGAAAGGTGGTAATGTCGGTGACTGAGATGGGAGGTTTGGGGGAGGAGGGGGACGGCTGGATCCTTTTCCTGTCTCCATTTCCCCAAGCTCTGCAGGAGTCTGATTTCCCTCTGGTCACCACCAGGGGGCAATGCGTTCCTTCCTGGCTAACCCGTCAGGCAGCCTGAATCCTACGCTGGAGCATCTCCCCCTGGGGGCAGCTGTGGAGCATGGTGCCTGGGTGGCCTCTGAGTCACCCACAGACACTGTGCCCCTTGCAGAAGAACCTTGTAGGATGAGGAGAGAAGAACATTAAATCCTAAAGTCCTGGAATCTGAAAATAGTGAATCCAGCCCTTGCACGGTTCCCCTGTATGCTCAGGATGGAGCCAGGCCCCTTAAGATACTCACGAGGTCTTGCTGCCAGCACCTCGCCTGCCCCCAGTGAACCCCAGCCCTGCGGGAGGGGAGAGATGGGCTCCCAGCAAGTGCCCCCTCTTGCACACATGCTGTTTTTTCAAACTGATCCTCTTTCATCCGGGCATCCCACACATCCCTCAGGGATCACTTCCTCCAGGACCCACCCTTTCCTGACCCAAAATGTGGGTTAGGCTTGCCCCCTCTACTTCTCACATCATAGCCCTTTCTCCCTAAATTATATTAGTCAATCTACCTGTTTGACTCCTCAGCTCATCTGTGGCTTTGAATGGCAGACCAGGGCTGGGCGGGGACCCCAAGAATATTTGTTGAATGAATGAAAAATAAATAAATGAATGAGTGAGTAAATCCGGGGTTGTACGAGGATGGCATCTAAGTTAATCCACCTCAAGTTTTGAAGTCAAAGAGACCTAGGTTCAAGTACTACCACTTGTGAGCTGTGTGACCTTGGCAACTGTCTTAACCTCTCTGGGTCCCAGTCTCTTATCTACTTATCACACTTGTACAGATTCAGTGATATGATGCATGTCAATCCCTTAACCTAAAATCTGCACTTAATATATGCTCAATAAAAATGAGGATTTTTTTTTTTTTTGGTGGTTAAAAAATGTAAATATGTGTGTATGTTCAATTGTATCTGTTTGTGGTATGCAATAAACTGTTAGCTAATGCCAGGGAATGAAATTGAG